TGTCAAGCTTTGTTTGATCTTGGGCAATCTTTGGGAGGTATTTTTTCCCAACAATTTGGTATCAGAGCTTCTTCTTAAATCAAGGTGGTTAAGCTTCGATTTTGGTGAGTTGCTTGAACTTTGTTGTGCACACAAGGTGTTTGTGAAAATTCCCAAGTGAACTTTGGTAATTTATTTCCGGTAAACAAGTGAATAAATCATGTCTACTAGAGAAATGGTGAAGATTGGGAAGTATGAGAGAGAGAAATTCAATGGGAAGAATGATTTTTCATATTGGAGAATGCAAATGAAAAATTTGTTGATTTCTCAAAAGTTGCACAAGGCATTGGCGGGAAAGGAGAAGAAGCACGTTGATATGTCGGACGAGGATTGGGAAGAGCTAGATCTTGAGACACGAGCATCTATCATTCTTTGCCTAGAAAGAGATGTTGCTTTCTTGGTTGATAGTGAGGTAACGGCGGCGAAGGTGTGGACAAAGTTGGAGGCGAACTTCATGATGAAGACTCTAACAAATCGGATCTATTTGAAGTCCAAATTGTATACTTGCAAGATGGATGAAGGTACACCAATCCGGGAGAACGTCAACAAGTTTGATAGGATCATATCGGACTTGAAGGACATTGATGTGGATGTAGATAATGAGGATCAAGCACTTCTACTACTTCTTTCATTACCAAAATCTTACGAGAACCTAGTACAAACATTGATGCTTGTGGGTGATAAAATTGTGATGGAGGACACTAGAACGTCACTTCTAGCAGATGATCTTCGAAAGATTGCAACTAGTGGCATGTCTACCATTGGTTACAAGGAGCAAGCTCAAGGATTGTTTGTAAGGGGTAGAAGCAATGTGCGACCAAAGGGCAAGGGAGAAAAATTTAGATCGAGTTCTAGACCTCTTGCGGAAAGGTCTTATTTCAAATGCGGCGAGCTTGGGCATTTCAAGGCGAATTGTCCTAACAAAAGGGGTTGGAAGAAGAACAATAAGAACAACAACAACGGGAAGGTGCAAGTCAAGCAAGAGGTAAGCTATGCCTCGGAAGGAAGGGAAAGCGATGAGTGCTACACCATCTCTTGTGATAAAGAAACCTCCGGTAAGTAGATTCTTAACTCTAGATGCTCTTACCATATGTGTCCAAATAGGAAGTGGTTTACTACCTATAGAAGCATTGATGGTGGAACTGTGTTGATGGGTAATAACCATTCCTGTAAAACGGTGGGGCTCGGTTCAATTAGAATCAAGATGCATGATGGAGTGGTTAGAACATTGATGGATGTTAGACATGTTCCTGATTTGCGAAAGAACCTTATCTCTGTTGGTGCCTTAAACTCTGGTGGTTGCAAGATTGTAACATGGAATGGAGTAAAGAAGGTTGTTCGTGGTTCTTTGATTGTGATGAAGGGTATTCGTGAAGGCAATCTCTATGTTCTTCAGGGTACTACAGTTATAGAAGATGTAGCAGTTGGAACAAGTGGAAGTGGTGGAGACCCATGTGAGTGCACTCGGCTATGTCATAGGAGGCTTGGGCATATGTCTGAAGAGGGGCTAGATTTGCTAGTCAAGAAAGGTTTGCTAAAGAACTTGAAGAAGCCTTGCATGGATTTTTGTGAGCATTGCGTGTACGGTAAAGCACACCGAGTTCAGTTCCAGCCAAGCAAACATAGAAGCAAAGACATTCTAGACTATGTGCACACGGATGTATGGGGTCCGGCGTCTGTCACTTCCAAAGGCGGTTCCAGGTATTTTGTTACATTTGTTGATGATTATTCTAGATATGCTTGGATTTATTTTTTGAAGCATAAGAATGAGGTATTCGACACTTTCAAGAAGTGGAAAGCAATGGTTGAAAACAGAACAGGAAAGAAATTGAAGACACTGCGATCTGATAACGGTACTGAGTATACAGATGGTGCTTTCAAGGAGTTCTGTGGTAAGGAAGGCATTGCGAGACACTGGACAATCAGAAATACACCGCAATAGAATGGGGTCGCGAAAAGACTGAATCGCACATTTCGAGAGAAATCGATATGTATGCGATCCTATGCTGGTTTGGGTAGAGAATGGTGGGCAGAGTCGGTTGCAAATGCTTGCTACATAGTGAACCGGTCTTCACATTCAAGGTTAGATGGAGATGCACCTTACAGGGTATTGACAGGAGAACATGCAGATTATGAGAAACTCAGAATATTCGGATGCACAGCCTACTATCATGTCAACGAGGGAAAGCTTGATGCGAGGGTCAAGAAGGCTATATTCTTGGGGTATGCGACAAGTGTTAAAGGCTATCACCTTTGGTGTGTAGAGGATTCTAAGTTCATAATCAGCAGAGATGTTACTTTTGATGAGAACTCCATGATAGCTTCGTTGAAAGCTACAGTACCCGGTGGTGATGATGTTGAGACTACAATGCCTCAAGTTGTTGACATAGAACCTAGAGATCAACCTGATTCTAGGCATGTTCAAGAGGAGCATCATACAGACACTTAATATGAGAGTGATGATGGGCTTGAACAAGAGGCGGTTCAGCAAGAGAATGTACAGGCATAGCAACAACAGCAGCTTGCAGATAACTTGGCTTCCTCTAGGCCACGCCATACTTACAAGCAAGTTCTAAAGTTGGGGTCAGACGAGCCTTTGAGGCACTATGGGCAGACAAATTTGGTTGAGTATGCACTCTCGGTGGAGGATGATGAGCCTACCACTTTCAAGAAAGCTATTTTAAATAACAATAGTGAGAGTGGTTGGCAGCAATGGAAGAAGAGATGGAATCACTTCACAAGAACCAAACATGGGAGGTTGTCCCATTGCCCATAGGTAAGAAAGCTATTGGTTGCAAGTGGTTGTACAAAAAGAAGGAGGATCCTACCAAGCTCGGTGGTACAAGATTCAAAACAAGGTTAGTGGCTAAGGGGTTTGCACAAAGAGAGGGAGTTGACTATAATGAGATCTTTTCTCCGGTGGTCAAGCATACTTCCATTCGGGTGCTATTAAGTATTGTTGCTCATCATGATCTTGAGCTAGAACAACTCGATGTCAAAACCGCCTTCTTGACGGGGACTTGGATGAGGAAATCTACATGCATCAACCTGAGGGCTATAAGGTTGAGGATAAGGAACGTTAGGTATGTCGTTTGAGAAAATCACTATATGGATTGAAGCAATCTCCTCGGCAGTGGTACAAATGATTTGACTCCTTCATGCTAAAGTATGGTTTCTTCAGAAGTGAGTATGACTGTTGTGTTTATATTCGAAAACTTAGGGGAGGTAACTATATCTATCTTCTATTGTATGTGGATGACATGCTTATCGCTTCGAAAAGCAAAGTGGAGATAGATAAGTTGAAATCTCAACTTGGTAAAGAGTTTGAGATGAAGGATATGGGAGCTGCTAGGAAAATACTGGGTATGGAGATTAGAAGAGAGAGGACGAAACGGCAAATGTTCTTAAGTCAGAAAGGCTACATTGAGCGGGTTATTGCTAGGTTCGGGTTGCAAGGTGCAAAGTCGGTGGTGACTCCATTAGCTCCACATTTCAGGCTCTCTGGTAAACAGTCTCCTACTACAGCGGAAGAAAAGGTACGCATGGATCGTGTACCTTATGTTAGTGCAGTTGGCAGTTTGATGTATGCCATGGTGTGTACACGCCCAGATATTTCACAGGCGGTTAGTGTGGTCAGTAGATTCATGGCGAATCCGGGGAAGGCACACTGGGAAGCTGTGAAGTGGATCCTGAGGTACTTAAAAGGTACCGCGGATACGGGCTTATGTTTTGGTGGAGATGCATTCATATAAGTGGGTTTGTGGACTCAGATTATGCAGGTGATCTAGATAGACGACGATCTACTACTGGATATGTGTTTTGCATACATGGTGCCCTAGTTAGTTGGCGATTGATGTTACAGGCTACAGTTGCTCTTTCTACTACAGAGGCAGAGTATATGGCCATGGCAGAGGGAGTGAAGGAAGTATTGTGGTTATGGGGTCTTCTAGATGATTTGAGGATTGAGCAGGATTGTGTGGACTTGTGGTGTGATAGCCAGAGTGCGATTCACTTAGCTAAGAATTAGGTTCATCATGCTCGAACCAAGCATATCGACTCAGGTATCATTTTGTGCGTGATGTCATAGAGGAAGGTGATATTTCACTCTCAAAGGTACACACAAATGAGAATCCAGCTGACATGTTAACCAAAGTGGTAACGGGTAGCAAGTTTCAACATTGCTTGGACTTGCTTCACATTAGTCCGTGTTGATATGCCACATTAGTCCGTGTTGATATGCTCAAGTGGGCATGGCCCTTTGGGGCGGGGTTGAAATGAGGTGGAGAGTATATGAAGGTGGAGGTGAACTATGGAGGCTTGATCCCGAGTTTTGGGTACGTAGGCAACCATGGTTTGAATGGTGCAGCCGAGTTTTGGTGCTTGCTTCTTCTTCTTGTGTTCGTCCAAAATTTGATGTCTATCAAATAATGTACGAGGTGGAGAATTGTGAAAAGAAGGGAGAAGGGTGAAGGCAAGGCAGTGCCTAGGCGCTCAACTGGTTTCTGCCGAAGCAGAAACTGGGAGCCTAGGCGCCACTCATGGGCGCCTGGGCGCCTCGATTGCCAAACTCAGGCAGTAAGTTGGCGCCTAGGCGCCCCGGTACATATATATATCTCCGGTTTTTTGCCTCTTTATATAAAGCACAAGACCTAGAGCCCGTTTTTAGAGAGAAAGAAGGGAGAAAGCTTGGATAGAATTTTACAAGATTGAGGTTGTTCATCTTGGGTATAAATTCAAAGTTATTTTCTTTCTTGGGGATTAACTTGAGGCTTGTTCAAGTAATCCAAATACATTGTTCTTCATTTATTCCATTGAAATCATTTCTTCCTCATTTTCTTGTTCTTGAAGTGGTTTTGGATTTTTCACATTGTCAAGCTTTGTTTGATCTTGGGCAATCTTTGGGAGGTGTTTTTTCCCAACAACTACTATCGGACAATCCCTTAGAACACAGTTTGAATTCATTATGGAACCGGATGGGGTGGATACACTAATCTGTTCTTTCGACTGTATAAGAGTTTTTTCCAGCTTCTTGACAAATTTAGGACTAAGAAATGAGTGGGTAGCCCCATAGTTAAACAAGACGCTGCAGGTGTATTACACATATACACGGTGCCTACATAAAATTGAGAATACATATATCATTAGATCATGTTTTCCAAAGGAAGTGTTTGAGTCAAAATGTACGTTCCTATCACTACTTTTGAGGTATCTTCCACTTCCCTCCTAGTCATAGAATATATTTGTGCCTGAGTGGACCTTTTTTATGCTCGCTGTTAGCAAATGAATTTTCCTTTCAGTTATTCATAAGGTGACCAGTCTTTTCGCACCGGAAGCATAGACCCATGCCATCAAGACATTCATCCAGATACTCCTTGCGACATTTCGAGCATGTAGTTTTTTGCTGTTTGTTTTGGCGATATCCATTGTTGCTACCTTGCTCATTACTCATCTTTTGACTGTTGTTCTTCCAAATCTGCCCCTTCGAATTTCCACCATAAAATTTCTGACTACTCAACTTTGTGTTATTTTCTTCCCTATCCAGGAGTTGAGTTCCTTACACCAAAATTAACTTGCAAACTACGTCACCGTACGTTGATAATTAGAATGGTTCGCTACCTGCTTTATGCTAGGCTTAAGTCCTTCAAATCACCTTGTTCTTCTTTCTTCTGTTGCAACCAGATCTAGAGGCAATTTTGACAGGCGAGCAAATTCAGCCTCATATTTAGTAACTGTACGATTTCCCTGCTCCAGCTTAATGAATTCTCTCTCTTTCTGTCGGCGAATATTCTTAGGGAAATACTTGTCATTGAAGTCATCTTTGAACATATCCCAAGTGAAGGGTCTAGTATCCTTGTCATGTTGGTGTTGAACCATCAACCACGAATCATAGGCATCTCTTGGAGCATATAGGTAGCAAATGTGTCCTTTTCTTGTTCGGTGCAGTTCATAACGAGTAGGCCTTCTGAATTTTGGTTAACCATTTTTCAACTTCCCAAGGGTCAATAGTACCAGTAAAAGATGGTGAAGATAACTTCTTAAAATCAAAAATCTTCCCATGCTCTTGTTTCAATCAATTCTCCTAGAAAGCCTGTTTTGCCGAGATACTGCCAACGCTTGCATAAAAGCCTCCATTGTGATTAAGGTACCTGATGATGCATTATCATTGCTTGACCCTTCCAATTGAGCCTAAGATGTTTCTTCATGAGCTTGAGAATCGGTAGTGGGGGCCATACTAAAACACAAGAAAATTCTAACTTATAAGAATATTAATTAGCCTTATTTGTATCTATAATAATTACGCATTAAGTAACCATTTGCTGTGTAATGAATAAAAGTTAAACTTACCAGATGACTACGAGATGCCCTCTTGCGGCAAGAACTCAATATTGTATCCCTTTTTATTACACAAACACACACACGCACACACATTTTGCCTACGGAATCGATTTCTGCTACCAAAGTTATAACACCTCAAGTTTAGAAATTTCTAATTTCATGAGTATTAATAAAAATTTCATTTAAGAAATATATGTAGCCAAGTAGATAAGATTTGAATAACACCGATTTAACTTATACGCGCAAAGTATAACGCGTTGGTTGTAGTATAGCTTTGGGGTGTCGTATTCGCAGGGAGATGGAAAATTATTTAAAGGATCAAAGCTAGGGTTTCGTGAAGTGTGTGAAAATAGTTTATCAATTAGAATGAAATTTAAATATCAATGTGTGAAGTAGTAAAACGCCAAAATTCCCTCGATCGATTCGGATCAATCAACGTCAATTACATATTCATATACTCAATTAAAGGTTCTTGTCTTGTCAAACTTTAATTGGAAAATATAACATTAAGGCTCAATTTTTATAGTAATTCTAAAATATGGATTTCCTACAACGTATACCCACTTTAATGTATTGAAATCAAATTCTAAATCTCAAGCATAAAATCGTCAAGAATCACACCAATAAGATAGTTGAAATTGAAATTCAACAAATAGTTTAATTTCACGATAGATAAAACATTATTGAATCTATGCGAAATATAGTAAACGTTAAACCAATCTCACAACAATGCTTGAAATTGAAATTCAGTACATACTTCAATTATTCGATGGAAAGAACATGATTAAGTCCATGAAAATCTAATACATATTAAACAAATCTCAAAGCATATTTATAAGAACAAGAGATCCAAACCTAGAATTGTTTAGCAATGCAAATCATATTACATGCACGAGAAACGTTGAAATAATCGATACCAATCAAGTTCCTCCATTGCGTCACCAAAGATTTCTAACCTTCCATGAAGTTTATTGGCCAACGACGAGAGAAAATTGATAGGGAGAGGAAGAATGGGGTTCTGGGTTTAGATTAGGGCTTAAAAACGTGTGCCGATTGAGATGATTCAAGTTGCGTTGGAAAGATAACTCAAAGGAATACAACTTTTATTCAGACATCATCTTCTAGATCGATCGTTTTCCATGTCAAAAATAAGTCCCAATATAAGGCTGAAAACCGATGCGTAACTTTTTCAATTGGAGATTGATTTGTGAAGATGTTTCGGTCATATTTCACTTCTTTTGATTTCGAATTACACCGAATTGACTCCTAGATTTCTTCAATCATCATTCCATCGCCCGTCTCATTATGAATTATTTGCAACTTGGTCCCTGAACTTTCAATTTCTTCCATTTTGGTCCTTTTCCGCTCTTTTCTTCTAAATTTCAACTTTTCTACCAAAATGCTACCTGAATCAAAGCCTAAGTATAATAAGTGCATTTTGGTATCAAATAATAACACGAATGTCATAATTAAGAGGGAAAAATTATAATATTTTGCACTCTTATAATTGGTCTCATAAATTGTGGAATTTATAAAATCCTAAACAATTGCATAAAGAAATTTCATGTCCAAAATGATTTATTTATAATGATTTGCTTAAATTTCAAGAGGGTTTGAATAATCTTATTAGACTAGAAATAGGATATTCAATTTGGATAGTACTAAATTCATCTCACCTCAAGTAGTCAGCGAGTCATCTAGTTCTCATCATCTGAAAATGGGGGAAGATAACATTGAATGAGCTAACGCCCATAATGAAAACCCTTACATATGATACATGATTATGATATGCATATGCATTTATTAAAAGTAAGTGACATTTCTATTATGTATCCCATTTTCTTTCATTTCTTTAAAAATATCAACATTAACATTGTGAGCTCAATTTGGTGTATCCCTTAGTCAATTTGAATGTAGTGGGCAATTATTATTTGGAACATGATTCATTCTTAGTACCACAGAGCAGTTAACATTAACGTTGAATGTTGAACATTGAACATTAGTCAGGTGATCCGATCCCCCACGCTCCATTTCCCATTCACACCTTTCATGGCATAAACATATACCTTGTAACAGAACATTCGAGATACATATCTTTAAAAACTTTTCTTGACTCATAGACATTTGAAGTCTTTTATTTCTTGAAACTTCATGTATGTTTATGGATGTATTGATGTGTATAAATGTGAAATAAGAAACAGTATGACATAAACATAATAATTAGATATCATGTTAAAATAAGAGCAAGTAAGATAAAGCATTTATACATTTAGCCATATGAAGTACGCGTGAAAATGTGGAAGGTTTACTCACATGGAATGCTTGGAAATCTACTTGTAGAATAACATCAAATCGATTACGAATTATTAAGAGTGCGTTTGATTTGTCATTTTGAGACCATTTTCAATTTTCTAGTTTTCGAAAACACTCAAAACGTGTTTGGTATGTTATTTTCAAAAATGTAATTTTGAAAACAAGGAAATTTTGATAATACAAAACTCAAAACAACTTTTTGAATTTCTGAGTGTCTTCAATGAAAATACTCAAAAAAATCAAAACAAGGAAAATGAGCTTAAAAATTTTCGAAATTAAAATAATTAATAAAATCACACAAAACTTACTCAAATACAAATACTCCTCTTCTTCTCACTCTCCCTCTTTATCTCTCTCTTCCCATGCTCCTCTAATATGTCATAAAAGACTATTTCTAAAGTTTTTAAATCAAACGCGTTTTCTAATTTTTTGTTTTAAAAAATAGTCTTTTCTGAACGACAAACCGATCACTTTTTCTATAATCTTAAAATAACCCCTCAAAACAAAAAACAAAAAACAAAAAAAAAATTAATTTTAAACTGAAAACAAAAAGGCAAGCCAAACACTCCCTAACTTTTCTTCCATTCTAAACTTATCTTAATGAAGTATAATTGAACTTCATATGTTAAAAAGCTAATTTGAATTCCATGTTACTACCACGTGAGACACCATATTTGCATCATCTAATTAGTGTTACCCACGATCATACTCATCACAATGACTACATGTATAAATTGTATTAAATAACACAAAATCCAAAATGACTAAAAACACGTAGGGACGGCAACGAGGCGGGTATGGAACGGGTCGGCCACTCCCACCCCTGTCCTATCGAGTATTTTTGTTATCTTACCCCATACACATACCCATTCTCATTTAAAGTGGGATGGGGAGGGCTCAGGGAGGGGCTAGTCTCCTGTCCCATTTATGGCCCCATTTATTTTTTCTTTTTATTTTTTTATTGTTTGCTTTTATTTTTTGTGTCCTTAGTTAGTAAATAGTATTACTTTATTACCAATTTGTTAAAAACAACTTATGTTCTCTTTAAAAAGAATGATAATCTATTAGTTTTGTTTGATAAAAACTTAAAATTGAAATTAATATTAAACGGGGCGGAGACTATGTTTCCCGTACCCGTCCCATACCCGCTTTAAGGCAATAATCCTCGCCCCATACTCATCCCGTGTACCCAGTTAGGCAGGTATTACCTGCCCCATTCGGGGTGGGGCCCATGGGGTATCAGGTTGACAAGTTTTTTTGCCAGCCCTAAAAACAGGTTTGGTTCGTCTTATAAACTTTACAGGTGAGAAAGCATTGGCATTTATAAAATTGACAAGCATTATGTATATCCACAAGAATTCTTACCACCCGTTTTAACCAAAAAAAATAAATAAATAAATAATAAAATTATCTTATAGATTGATAAATAAATATAAAATTAACTTTATTTAATTCTTTCGGGTGATGAATTAATACATCGCAAACACGGACCAAATCAATAATTAAAGTCGTAAAATAGTAAAACTCGACTTCTTTGAAAACAATCAGGGAAATGATAGGTAATGATCCATTCATTAAACTAGCAAGTGGTTCCAATAAATAAACGGCTAATAATAAAAAATCATATACATAAAACTTGAATGTTCAAACGTTTTGTGTGGGTGTGTGTGAAAATGGAAGAGACAATTATTTATATGGTTCAAATTATGTAGAGTTGACTTATTATGACACGAAAATAATTTCGAGAGCACAAGAAAGATATCATGACAATTTTGTTTGTTACCTTATGTGTAGGTCTTTAAAGTCCAAGAAGATGAAACGGTAAATGAATGAGAATTTTCTTCGTTCGAATGAATAAAAATGGAGACTTCGTTTTGTAATGAGATGTTTTGCATTTGAAAGGTATTGTCTTCTAATAGTATATCCTCTGTAAAGGAAAGGTTTTTCCTACATAATCAATAAAATCTCAATTCTCTGATTTCATTAGTTGGCAAAAACTAAATTTCTTGCGTAGATTAATAATCAATTTAAGTAAATGGAATCTTACTAGGTATTAAAAAAAACATGAAAGTTTCCAAAGGGGTGTCTAAGTTTATTTAATAAGAAAAATGGCTAGTCATAAAACCATAAGTATACAATTAAGCGCCCCCAGGGCACATCTCCAAGTGGTAAAAGGGGAGGGTGGAGAAATCCAACTTTGCTTGAGGCTGCTGCGTCAAGGGTTCGAATCTTGAAATATGGATTTGACTCTTGGGTAAGTGCAAGTGTACAAGTAATCTTCCACTCTGTACCCTTGGAGGCATAACCTGCGATTTACCTCCCTCACGATATTCCAGGACAGGGGTGGTGGGAGACCCTTAAGGTTAGGGTTTAACATTTTTATAAGTATACAATTAAGCAAATACATCATATATTTTATTTTCATTTTAATAGATTTATATACACATTATATTTAATTTTTTCTAAGCACGTCGATTGTGTAGGACGTCAAAGGTACATTCTACTATAAAACATAGTTAGTCTCAACAAAGATTATTATATTAAATAAAAAAATAAATAAGTAACTTAGACATATAATAATAACAAAAACAAGCATGCGACATTACACTTTCCATGGAGCACCTTAGTCCTAGTTAGGCATGTGATATTAAAGACACTTGAACAACTAAGTCATCTGACCAAAGCAAGAGATTATACTATCCCATGCTCCCTCATCGCATGGATTCATCAGTTTTAGGCTCCAACTTTGGCAAGAAAATCGTAAGCTACAATTCAAGTTCAAGTTTAAAATTTATAAAATTCCAAAAAATATTACCATTGAACAGAAGGGAAGAAATATAATTCCCGGATATTTTGGTAGTATCACTAGACCAAAATATAAATATACAAATTCTCTATCACTTCCCGGTTGATATAGTTTTAAAATAGTTTGAATTATATTTACCATTAAAAGATATTGATTAAAAGCAAACATTCAAGCTCAGAGCTAAATGAAAAAGATAATATAATACAATTCAGCGGCAGGGTTCATGCCTAATTGAATTGCAAAGGTGTACATCAGTAAACTTATAGAGTCCAAACATCCTAATATCAAATATTCAAAAAGCTAAATAATCAGAAGATGAAGACTACTTAAATCAAGATTGAAAGCTCTGACTAATCAATTAATAGAATTTTGAAATCTAATTTTAATCCAGAATTTAAAAATTTTCCAATTGAAACAATAATTATAAGCACAAAATGCATTGAATGAGGCATGCATAGAAATATTGACCTGATCGAAGATCTCGTCGACGAAGAGTAGAATTCAAATAAGATAGAGCTAGAACATCATTAAGCCCTTGTTTGAGCTTTTTATGGTATAGATTTTTGGTTGCTCTTGTAAGTGTTATGCCCTAGATCCAATCGATTCCCTGACACATTGCTAGATGTCAATCAGGGACGGCGAATGTGAATTGACGATAAATTAAAAGGGTGTATTAATTTATCGATTTTGATTAGATCAAAATAATATTTCACGACGTTAGGCATCGTGGTCGGGAACCTAATGGGTCGCACACAAAAGAGAATTGGAAGACTGCAAATTGTTAATTGATTAATTTAACAATCGTTGGATAAATTAATTAATTGAATTTCTTATTTATAATCCCGAATTAATTAATTGGATTAATTAATTCATGGACCGGGTTTGATTAATTGGATTAATTAAATATTGGACCGGACCGGGCCGGGTCCGTTTGGGTTTATATATATATGCAGCTAGGGTTTGAGGTCCATTAAGTTATTCATTATTCTTGCTAGCATAAGAAAGAAACCCTCGCAGTTGCTGTCTTCTCTCTGTGTGGATTTCATTGGAGGCTGCACAATTGGACAGCTGTGGGAGGCAGATTCAAGCTGCTGGATAGGAATAACGCGAAAGAGTTTGCAAATCACACAAAAGGTATATTTCTCATCACAGTTTTTATCTAAATACAAAGCTGAATCCTGAATGGGAATTGAAGTTTGTTAAATTCCGCTGTGCATGTTTAAATCAATTCCCAACAGCTCTTTCCTTCTTCATGTCCAATTGTGTGAGTAGAAGAGAGAGGGTAAGGGTTCACTTCTGTAAAAGTAGTTTTTTACGGCATTCATTTACGAATGCACGCCATGAAAAGTCTCCTTTTACGGCGTTCAACAAATGTGTGCAGTAATTATTTAATCACTTAAAGTATTTACAGCATACATTTGGGACATGCATAAATAGTCAATAATTATGGCATTTTATGGCATACAAATAGGACACACCGTAAATAATCAATAATTACAGCTTTTTACGGTGTGCGTTGCGAACGCCGTTATAGATAGAGCCCAAAAGGTAGCCCATACACTCCGTAATAGCCGAGCACAAAACAAAACAAAATATAATTTAAATTCCCCAACTCGATAGCCCAATCTTCATGAAATTAGGGAACAGGAGGCTGCACATAACTGGATCGCTCTCAATCTCTCTTACATAACTCTCGTCCCTATCAATCTTGCTCCCTCTTTTTCTCAATATTGAGCATCACAGACACCAGCCCTCAATTGTTTGAGAGGCTTACTTTCTGGGAACCTTATTTTCCATTATTTCAAGTTCGGCTTAATTGTTTGCTATTTTCAGAAAATTTTATTGTAGTTGCATATTTCCCCATGCCCTCGTGGTCGTTTTTTCCTATTTATAATTCTAATCTTACTGATAATGACTAGCACCAATGAATTTCTAATCAATGGTCAGGTGAGCAATTACATCCAAAGCAAGATCATGCGCTCTGATTTTTCCCCTGGTCTTGCATTTGGTGCCGCGACTTCAACTTATTAGGTATATGTGCCACATGCATATTTGTTTGCTAAGTGTACGAGTATTTAAATTCTAATATAATGACTCATAACACTTGTTATAATCTCGTGATTTCATTTATAGAAGAACAAGTACTCTTGTAATTTGCTTCTATTCTTGCTTTTGCAAAATATTAAATTTTTTTCTGGGTCTTATAATTATGCAGATTGATGTTGGATGGAATGCAGGAGGTAAAGGCCTGAGTAATTGAGATGTTTTCATGCAGAAAAAACTCGGTAACATCCCATTTTTCAATCTTCTCATGTTTATATATATAATATAAGACACAAAATCACCTTATGAATTAGGGAACAGGTGGCTACATATAACCCGTTCCCTCTCAATCTCTTATAACTCTCGTTCTTGTCAATCTCGCTCCTGCCTCTCTCAATATCAAGCATAGAAGACACCAGCCCTCAATTGTTTGATATACTTTTGATTTTCATGTTTATTAATTATAATCTTATTATTTACATGGTGTGTATGGAGTTGATATTTTGTGGGATAGCTCAATTGTCGATCAAAGAAGTGAACTTTGATATAGTTTAATCATTTTTTTTTATGGAACCTCATTAGCTGAATGGCAATTGGCACATACAATAGTAGTCGAAATTTTTTGAGAATTGTTGAGATGAATTTTACATTGACATATTGTATTGAACCGTATTCAATATTTCTATTTATCGAAACAATGGAAAACTTGATTATGCATGGATTAATTTTGTTTTGTAATTATTACAAGTTTGCTGGTAATGAAATAAATAAATAATTTTTAACAAATTAAATGCACATTTACGGCGTTTTTAGGCATGCCGTGAAAATGAACTTTATTTTTACGGCGTACATTAAAGAACGCGTGATTCCATGAATTTATCACCTTATATGCCGTACAACTGCAGGCCGTTAAAAGTATGTCACATTTATGCTTTTTATGGCGAGCAGTTGTACGCTATAAAATGATTAACGGCGTTCCATGTACGGCATACTATGCACGTCATAAATTGTAAAAAAGGACCCACTTTTTACGGCATTGTTTTATACGACACGTTGTAGTACGTCGTAAAGTATTA